GGGTGGGGTCCTGTGGGGCCCCCAGGGCTGCTGCTGTCCCACCGGGCTGCTGCCTGTGTGCAGGGTGCTGGGGACTCAGCGCTCAAATACAGCTCCTCCTGGAGGCCAGGAGCAGGGGGAGGAGGTGGGAGCCTCCCCTCCTGACAGGAGACACAAGAAGCTGCCTCAGCAGGACTCCCAAACCAGTGTGCATTTGGGTGGGAGGTGTAGGACGGTCCCTGTGTGAGGAGTTCCCTGGGCAGAGGCATTTTGGGGCTGTTTGAGCTGTTCATGCAGTGGCCTCGATGCAGAATCACAGGATAGTTTGGGTTGGAGACCTTTAAGATCACCAAGTCCAACCCTGCCCCAGCCCTGCCAGGTCCCCACTGCCCCGTGTCCCTCACCCCACATCTCCACGGCTTGGGAACCCCTCCAGGGGTGGAAATCCCCCCGATACCTGATGAACCCCACTCTGCTCTTGGTGCCCTTCTTTGGCTGTGCCTTGTCTTCTGTCTGCTGCTGCCCTTCTCCTGCTGTGAGGGGCTGTCCAGGTGACTCCCTTCTCTTCCAGCCTGTCCCAGTCACAGCTCTTCTGCCTGCCTGTCCCTCTGCGTTCTCCTCTGGCATTCTCTCCATCCCACATCGCTCTCAGCTTTTCAGAGGAAGGTCTCTGCCCCTTCCCTGGCTGTTGATGAGCTCTGGGGACGTTGCTGGTGTCCCCTGCTCGACGTGCAGCTGGCAGGGGTGGCAGGTCCCAGCTCTGCTGTGCCCACCAGGAGCAGCCTCCCCGCCCTGCCGGGGGGTCCCCGTGGGGCTGAGGGGGGTCTGGGTCCTGCCCTGCAGGATGCGGGACCTGTCTGCCTCCGAGAAGCAGGAGCACGTGAAGCTGCAAAAGCAGATGGAGAAGAAGAACACGGAGCTGGAGTCGCTGCGCCAGCAGAGGGAGAAGCTCCAGGAGGAGGTGAAGCAGGCGGAGAAGACGGTGGATGAGCTGAAGGAGCAGGTGAGCCCGCGGGGGAAGGACAGGCTGGGAGGGGGGCTGGGACCACCTGGAGCTTTGGGTGGCTGCTCTCAGGCAGCGTGGGCCACCCCTGGGAGTGACCACGCTCGGTGGCACCCAGGGGGACTGACGCTGCCCAGTGCCCCTGCACAGCCAGGCCCTGTCCCAGCGTGGAGCTGTGCTGGGCCCTGCCTGGCCACGGGCTGGCTCCTGGGCACAGGACCTGGCATCAGGAGTCGTGTGGGTGGGAGGAGACCTGTGAGCTGAGTCCAGCCATCCCTCAGCACTGCCGGGTGCCCACCGACCGTGTCCCTCAGCACCACATCCCCCCTGGGGCAGCTTGAGGCTGTTTCCTCTTCTCCTGTTGCTTGTTCCTTGGGAGAAGACACCAACTGTGCTGGACTCTCTCTGGTAGTTCCTTGTCTCTCTTGAACTGGGGAGCCTAGAAAAGGACCAAATACTCCAGAAGTGGCCTCCTTAGAGCAGAGCA